AGAGAGAGAGAGAGAGAGAGAGAGAGAGAGAGAGAGAAAGAGAGCGCGAACGCACACGCACATGCACATGTGTATTCCAAGGTGGGAAAGAGGGAAGATGGGGAATTCAGAGAAGCCTGGATTCCGACTTCAGAGATTAGTTCTCCATTCAGTCTCTGGGCTCAAACTCTGAGCCCATTAGAGAGAAGAACTGTTAACAGAGATGAGCGATTTTTTCTTGAGCAGTACTTGAAACAAGGGAACTAAGGTATTCCACTTTGATGTTTCTGTGGAAAAGAGAACAGAAAGCCAGGCTTCCTGCCTACTTCTCAGAGTGGCCCAGACTTGCAGGATCTTAGGGAGGACTATAGCCAGACAGAGCAGATTTGGACCCCTTTAAAAAGAAAGAGAATTCCAGACTCCTTCAGCAACAGGTGAGCTGAAAAACTAACACTTTATATTGACATTTTATGTAGTTAAGCCAAATCCCTTCTGAATCCCCATTGAGGGTAGTGGAGAATTGGGATTTATGCTTCTTTTCTCAGGGAGTTAATGTGATCTGGAGATATTTAAAGTATTACAATGACCTCAGTTTTATCCATAGACCACTGAAGCAGAGGTTGCCTGAACCCTAACACAAACTCAATGACGAAAGGCCCAGTGTTTGCTTGCATGGCGCTTCCCAGACCACCGACACTGGGTTCTGGTTACTTAGACTTGTCAGTCTTTCAGACTTGGTATATGAATCAAAAGTGGGAGTCAAATCCAATTCCTAGCAATGGATTTGGGGGGAAAGTCATATAACCTTGATGAACTTAATGTCTCAAACAATTAAAAGTGGTCATCTCTAGCCTGACTTCCTGTCGTGTTGTCAGGACAATCCACAGGAAACATGTGCCTGAAATGCCTTTAAAACTATAATGCACTAAAAACTTAAAATATCATTATTCTCACAAGGTATCTGCCCACAAAACTGGAAATTAGGATTGAGATAACAGCTGGAATCATTTTATTTTTTAAGCCCATTTCATTAGCTAGATATTTAGAGGGGTACCTAGTTGATTAATTTCTCAATTCACTTTGCACCATTGAAATTTAAAAAATAAAAGCCTAAGAAATAAGTTACAGGCTTTTTCAACTGTTAAGGACAGTTGCTTATTATTGAAATGTCCCTCACATCATTAATATCTCAGTATCAAACATGGACAGCAAAAAGTTATAATCTGAAGGCCACTTTATTACTTATAAAATGAAACCTGCCCCAGCAAAGTTTTCTCCTGCTTATGCTCCTCAGGGTTCTGGGAGTAGAATGCTCTGATGTTGGGACACCACTCTGCTACCATTTATCACTCTCTCAGTTATGAAAGCCGAAGGGTTGTGCTCAGGCTCCTCCTTCGGTTCCACTAATGTCTCCCATAAGCCACTGCTCCTCAAGAATTTGTTTTGGGGGAAGAAAGACTTTATCAGTATCACTGAAGTCACATTTTTGGTTTCCTGCAGACATTTTTCTGACCTGGCCATTCAATTTGTACAATAATAATCTGACTAGGTCATTGGATTTGTAGAATAATAATAATAATTACAGTAATTATTATTATGATAACTATGACTACTTCATTTAATTTGCATTCAATTTGTGTCTGAATGCATACATTTCACCCTATATTGATTTTTAAATTCTTTATCTTTTGTTGACATATAATTAACATACAATAAAATGCTCAGATCTTAAAGAGATTTCAGAGGTTTGACAACTGCCTATGCCAAGTAACTAGCCAAAACAAGATATGAATTCATGAGTGATGGTGGACCTGTGTTTCACTGCTTCTGCCTAAGACAGTTGTACAGCATATATGGCGATTTCCTGAGTAAATTAGATTTCAATAGAGACTCAACACCAATTGTATCCAATACTGATTTGGGGGCTCAAACATTCATCAGTTACATACCTTTAGATTTTCTGATGATAAAATAACTAGTATTTATTGTAGAAAATACTAATACAATCCTATCACCCAAATAAAATCAATGACAGCTCTGTGTCATATAATCTTTTGAAATACATATTTGATAGATGATAGATGTGTGAATGTCTGTGTGTGATTTTAAAGCAGGCTCTCTCTACACATTCTGTTTTATGCTGTTGCAGGAGTCTCTGATTTGAGGTTCTGCACTCT